CCATAGGCGACAGTGGCAGCGGCCATGGGCGATGGCGGCAGCGGTAGTGGGTTGAGTTGGACGCCAATAATCAAAAACCCTAATGGACAAAACCCTAATGGACAAAACCCTAATGGGCACAAAACCCTAATGGGCACAAAACCCTAAGCTCAAAAATTTAGAAAAGACCTAGGGCTCTGATACCATGTTGAAACTAAGGTTCGAGAGAATCCAATATCCTTCATTCTCATTATTAAAGACTATATATATAGACAAATATACAAGATTGACCTAATCTTATACGGAGAATATTCTGTCCCCTCATCTATGCGAAGAATTTTGATTCTCGTATTAAATTGATTATGAATGAGAGAATGAAACTGTTGAAAGATTGATGCAGTTTCTGATTTTTCTTTAACTAAATAGTCCCAACAAACCCTAGTGTGGTCATCGGTGAAGGTAAGGAACCAACGTTTACCGGACATAGTTTTGATGCGAGACGACCCTCATAAATCACTATGAATCATTGTGAATGGACTGGATGGTATATACTCAACAAATGGATAAGATGTACGAGAGTGTTTTGCAAGTTGACATACTTAGCAAGTAAAAAGGTCATCTTTATGAAAAAGTGAAGGATACAAATGTTTAAGATACTGAAAACTCGGGTGCCCTAAACGACGATGTAAAAGTAGAATTTGTTGTTCTCTTGAATTTGACTCACCACCAACCTAGAGAACTTGACTCTAAGTGTTTGTTTTAGGACTTGATAACGGGAACGACAATTGGCAGTGCTGATGGCTTTGAAGGGCTCTACTACTTCAGGGCCTGACACTTTAAATCATAGTAAACTTCTGAACAAAAATTAGATTGCAACATAATTTAGGCACATGGAGCACAGAGTGCAATGTAATGTTCGGGCTAAGAATAACAGAACCAAAGCCCTTAATAATAGCCGATGACCCATCTGCAAGCTTGACATGTGTCTGAATCGGGTTGGGTGAGTACATGGTAAACATATCATGAAAAGCGATCATATGATCAGTTGCACCTGAATCTAAGTCCCCTTACTCGTGCTTAATGTGCAAAAGTTATTTGGAAAATCAAGCCCATCTCTTCTTCCTTTGCCCCTTCGCTAAAACTGTTGGGTCTAAGATGTTTTCTTTCTTTGGAATCAGCTGGTCCTGGAGTATTTGACAAGTGGCTGAGATCTATTACTCGGGTGACATAGAACTTCAGCCAACATTCTTGCTTTTAAAATTTGAAAAGTTATCGTAAGTACCATTTGGATGTATCTAATTAAGTTTCTGGAATTGCAGATGTCATTAGGATTAGCCATGGTCTCTACCATCTAATTTTATGTTTGTACTTATATCTTACCAAACTTCTTGTATTTTATCCTAGTAAAGAAATAATTTTCATGATATGACAACTTTAACTTGAATTGTCTTTTAATTGTATAAATGGTGTTCTGCCATTAGAAGGATGGTTTTGATGTCAAAAAAAAAAAAAAAAAGGAAGAAAGGAGGATAATATTAAGTTGAAGTCATTTTAAAGCATATTAATAAAATGATATTGATTTACATAAGAATTGGCTTGGTGGTTATGGTATCTCTACTTTCTCGAGGTGTAGGTGCAAATCTTCCCACCCCATATATGTGATGTGATATTTTTTAGAAAATAAAATAAAATAATATTGATTTGATAAGTTGCATTGTGAGAACTAAGGAAACCTAGCACTATGCTCGAACAAACTTTATATTTATGGTACATGTGCTAAAATCTAGTCTAAATTTTTCTAGGATTGTCTAACACAAAAGACTGCGAAAATTTTAATGCACTATTTGCGACATGCATGAGAAGGTTCCTTTACATCCGTTGCTATGACAGTTTTGAGTTTCTTGCCACTCTCAAGGTAAGTTGCTTTGATTCTTCTTATTTGAAAATTGAAATATAGCTACCCTTCATGTTTGAATAATCTGAGTTTTCTCCAATAAATTTCGATTGGTTTCAAAGAGGTTGAGAAGTTTGTTTGATTCTGTTCATGAATTTCGGTTTTTTGTGGTTATCTCCATCAAGTTTTGATCAAGATTTTGGTCTCATTTTATTAAGTGATCTAGATGTTTTCAGTGTAATCGATCCGTTTGTAATTTTGGGTCTTTAGGTTGGTCTTTTGATTACCTGTTTTTTTTTTGTTCTCTTGTAAGTTGTTGCTGCTTCTTTCTATTTCCATTTTGTTAAAAAAGGAAGATTTTTATTTGGAGGTTCTCTGTGTTTTCAATGGTGGGAAAGACTGTATTTGGAGGGGTTGGGTTCAGCTTTATTCTTCTAAATTTGGCGTGGGGTTTCGGTGTTTGGAAGGAAGGGTTGAAGTTACTGCCTTTAATGTTTGTTGAAGAAGATCAAGAGTCTTTGTTTATGTGGTGTTAAAACTTCAATTTAGGTTTTGTGGTCATAAAGTTTACTCTGAAGGTAAATCTGGTATTTATATTTGGTTTGAACGTCAATAACAAAGCATTAGATTGATCCTTCTGAGTATTCTACTGGGCTTGGTCTTCTTTCGTTTAAGTTTATTGTAGGTAAATGTCAAGATTTTTTTAATGTGCCCTAAAAAAATAACCTTCATTAAATTCTTAAATTTCCCTTTTTTTTTTTCCTTTCATCAGCTGCTGCTTTGTATTTTAAGACTTAAGTTTACTCTCTACTATTTTGTGCAACCTTCATTGAGTAAAATTTGGCTATGTAATTCTTTAGAGCTTTTGGATTTCAGACCATGCACCATAGACTTCAAAAAGAAAGAGATGTCCTTGGAATTGGGGTACATCTGCTCATGATTGACAGGTTTGTGCTAAAAATAATTTGGAACCATGTGGCGTGTCTCCTGCTATATGGAATTTTCAATGTCTTCTTAATAGTTGATATATTTCATGAACCTGAAAAGATAAAGATGCAGTCATTCTTATAGTTATATTTTCTACTTCTTTGCATATGCTTATCTTTCTCTGGCATGCCATTTATGCCAGAGGACTACAAATTGATTTTGCTAGAAAGAGTATACTGTAGAAGGTACTAATTATAGAATTCACGTTCATTGGTGTGTGATGATTCCTCTTTTGTTCATAGTGCATGTAAGAAGAAAAAGGTTTCTCTAGATCAAAATTTGTGTCCTGTACATTCATTTTTTCAATTATGGTATAAAATATATAGCATAGATTGGTATTGTCTAGGGGTGTACATCGGTGGGTCGGGTCGGTTTTCAGGCTGAAATCCCCGCCGATCGACATATGGTCGGATTCCAAAAATGGAAATGGACCGACCGACGTGATGAAATTTTTTCCGACCGAACTTATAGTCGGTCGTTTTCGACCCACCGACAAAATTTTTATTTTTATTTTTTTCATTTCGTATCTTCCATAGACACTTATCCGGTCTCTCTCTTGCCCTTACTTTAAAAAAAAATCATATTCATCGTAGAGAGAAGAAGAGTTGAAGTTAAGAATGGGAGAAGGAAAGAAAAGAGAAGAGAGAGTAGGAACACAAACTTGAAATGAAAATGGAGAAGGAGAAAAATACATATGAAAGTTGAAAGGGGAAGAAAGAAGAAAGAAGATAGAGTTAGATGAAAAATAGAGAAGGTTGGGGAAGAAAGAAGATAGAGTCAGGGGAAAAATAGAGAAGATTTAGAAAGGGTTAGATAGAGAAATTGAGAAAGTAATTTATAAATCAATAAAATAATTAAAAAAAATGTCATCCACGTGAATCACGTGAATGGCAATTAAAATATAAAATTATATTGGATTGGCCTGAATCATGTTCTCCCTGATTCATGCGTAGATTGACGCGTGGATCAATTAATTAAATTTTTTTTATAAATGTATATATGTCGATCGGTTTCGGTCGGTTTGGGGGTTATTTTTCTGACTGACCGACCTCCGACCGACAGAGGCATAAAACCGGCCAACCGACATCAATTCGGTCGGTTTTGGTCGGTCGGGTCGGTTTGTCGGCCAATCTTGTTACACCCTTAGTATTGTCTCAGCTCTCAATAAAATAAAGGCATCTTTCTAGGCACTTAATGATGGTTTATTTGCTAGGATAATGGGAGCAGTTCAGCAGTTCACAACCGTTTTATGAGAGATTAGTTGGGACTTAGAAGTAGCAACTTAAGTGTAAAAAGATCAAGATATTACTTACTAGCTTTGTTGCTAGTGTGGTAAGTCAATTTCTGAACAAACCCTCTAAGGAACACATGGAAGCTGTGTATAGAATATTGAGATACTTGTTCCCAAGGGATAGCTTGGGTGGCTTGGGGCCTTTAGGAATAACTTTGAGGTCTTGGGTTCAAGCTACATGGGACGCAACTTCCACCAAACGATAACTCCTTGCGTATGTACGGGTATGAGATAATGCTCATACCCCCCAGGTATAGGGACATAAAAGCCAAAGGGTTGCTGTCTCCTGGATAATAATAATAAAAAAAAAGAATATTGAGATATCTTAAGCATGATCCTGGAAAAATGGTCTCTCATTCTGAAAGACCACAAACAGATCTTTAGAAATCTGCATTGATATAGATTGGGTTGGATCTCCTATTGAGTGTAAGTGAATATCAGGATATTGTTTCTATGTATGAGAAACTTCTTGTTGGGAAGGCACATATCTCAAATAAAAGTTTAATATCCCCTTCAGACGAATCTATGCCACCAGACTTATTTAAAGCCATCTGGAAGACTAAGAGTCCTAAAAAGGTGAGTTTTTTCACTTGGATTCTTATATATGGGAAGGTTAATACAGCTGAAGTCCTCCAAAGAAAGTTGCACAGGTTTAATCTTATGCCATCCTTCTGTCCTTTATGCCATTCTAGTGGAGAAAGTTTGACTCATATCTTTTTTTATTGCCCTTTTGCACGGCATTGTTGGGAACTAATGATACGCGACACCCAAGCGTATTGAGTTACTCGAGCCACTTGAATCCAATCGTAGAGATGGTTCAATTCGAAAGGCTAAGAATTAGAAGGATTACTTTTCCGGTCGTTACCTTGAGCAGACAGAATACTCAGTATGCTCGTGGTTGGAAATACTCCACGAGTTTGATGGCCAATCAATGAAGCATGCTCCGATTGGTCAAATACAAAAGCCTAAGTTCAACCACACAAAGGGATTCGGATTTTGGGGGGGAGGGGTTCTGCACAAGTCAAGGGTGAGAAACACTCTCAATTTTCTATTCAATGACAATTCCAATATTCTAAGATGTCTTACAATGAGGGGGTACAAGCCTATTTATAGGCTAAGACCCATGACCTTTTAAAGGAAAATAACAAAATTAAAATGAAATTGAAAATTGATATATTCCTAAGAAGTAAAGAACTTGCCTAAAAGTGAACTTAAATTGGTTAATTCTAAAAGAAATAAACCAAAATCAAATCTAAAATCAAATCCTAAATCAAATCCAAGATCAAATAAACCAAAATCATAAGGAAGTCCTTTCCTTATATGGGATTGAGTGGGCAGCAAGGCAGGGCTGGGCACGGGTGCTGATGGCGTGCAGGGCGATGGGCGGTATGGGCGCTAAGGGGCGAGCGGTGTGTGCGGGTATGGGTGCTAGTGGCGTCACGCCACTGGCGTGTGTTGCATGCGGGCACTTGGGCATGGGGTGCGTGGACAGACATGGCTGCGTGCAGGGGCGCTGGCGTGCAGGCGTGAGCAGCAGGCGGCGTGTCATGGTCATGCTCGTCGAGGGCTTGTTGCCTGTGGCCGCATGCCCATAACAACCTCTTTCAACATACTTTTATGCCATGTATTTAGTTTTGTTTGTTATTTTCTTTTCCTTGTACTTTTGGTGGCTAGTGACTCCTCGCCACTTTGCACGTTCATGCCTGCCGTATCAATTATGCCTTAGAATGTACTATAGGGGGGTACACCTAGTCATCTTTCTTACATTGCGTTGTATTCTTGTCTTGCTGTTAATCTATTCTTTTGTATTCAAGCTTACAACAACTTTCCAAAATGCTTTCAAATGTTTTCCAAAATCGTTTTCTCGAGAACGGGGGTGGAAGTTGTGACATATAGCCTTTGTGCCACCGGCTAT